ACCATCCATCATTGCACTTTCAAGTGAGAGTCCAGCCAACTGAAGCTAGGACCTCACAGGTGCACTATCCCTCTGAGAATTCATCTCTGTTTTCTTTCTCATATCTGTTGAAAAACAATTGACATAATTTAATTTGGAAAGATAATCAGACTACAGTCAAGAAGGAAGAAACTTGAGGTTCATGATTTGCAATTTCAGATGCAAATAATTGATTGGGGAATATGAGATTATGAGATTACCCCAACCCACTGTAGAAAATGAACATATATATCTCTTATCAATCTAGAACATTGCAATCTCTTTTCCCCATCTTGGGAAAAGAGATTTTAAGTCAGTAACATTCTACTAGCTGCCTCATTTTCTTTGTTTATTATTTCTCTTTTATTTCTTTCCTTCTTTCATTTGATTTCAAGCATATTCTTCATTTCTCACTCTAGTTGCTGATTCATTTACATAATTATACATATAGTCATCTGTCCATCTTCTAAGGTCCCATTACTTATCCTTGTCTCTATCTCAACACTTCTCTCAGACTCAATTCTACACCTGATAACAGGTCAGAGATATTCCAGAGAGTGTTGTTTGTTGTAGGACAAGAGCTTATCCATGCTACATGCACTTATCCAGATAACAGTGTTCCAAAGATAATTGGAAATTTTCAATATCTTTATATCTATCTTTGCACAAGGCCTTGGGTCCTTTTCCACAGACTCTCCCCTGTCACCACCAGCAAAAATTACTCGGACAAGGCTGTCCAAGGTGTTCTCAGACAGCCTTGTCTGAGTAATTTTTGCTGGCAGTGTGTACCCTTATCCTGACAGACTTTGGGCTGAGATCTCCAGGATAAGGAGTGACAGGGAGTTAAACCCAACTGAGTGCAGGTAAGTGCTAGGTTACAAACTTACCAGAGTATGGGTAACCACTGGGTTACAAACTCACCTGAGTCAGGGTAACTGCTGGGTTGCAAACTCACAGAATCTAGGGTGACACTGTGTCACAAAGATTCTTATTTTTGACCAAGAGTGTTAAATAAACACTCAATTGACCAAGAGAATCAACAGAGATTTTCAATAGCCCAATCCATACCCTAAATCCTCTCATAAGAGGTCACCTAACTGTAGTCTGTGCTGGTTTCACCATTCACAGACTACCTTGTCCCTTTCCCTCCAGTCCTTAAATCTTCTAAACCCCTCAACTGTAGTGTTGAGGTAGAACTAACAGCAGTCTGCCCCTCACACTGACCTCAACTCCTAGTCTGTTAATTATTTCAGTTCCACAATTATTTACAAGGCTTTGATTATGAAATAGTCAGAACAGAAACAAAAAATTCTCAGCAATCTCTCAAGATCCACTTCGCATCACCAATCATGAATCAAAGAAGATTCATATTATCACAGGCAATTTAGTTATAAATGAGATAAAATTTGATTGTGAATCATAAAATGGGAAAGTAAAATCAACACAACCATCTAAGAAGATGATGTGAAAAAACAAGGTCAATCTAAGGAAATAAGATATACATGATGACAACATCTCAGCACAACAATGGCCCAACATACTCATTCAGCCCAAAAATGATATCCAACAAGTCAAACCCAAGCAAAGGAGAGGACAGGAATGGGTAGGAGGCAAAGCAGCAGATCAAATAAAGATAACAAGGTGCTGAAAAAGTGACAAGAACCTTGGATGAGAAAGCAGAAAGAGATGAAGGACAAAAGCAACTTGCTACTAAGGTTTCGATTTGAGTAAATATGGTCATTCAAGTGTGGCGAGATGGCAAGACAAATGCGTGCACCACTAGCCAGATAGTTTCGCACCACCATGAGATGACAAAGATGTCACATTGGGTGATGGTGTCAGCTGGTTAATCACAAAATCACAAATAATAGCAGAAACTCCCGAGCCAATGCTGAAGACCAATTGAGATAGCAACTAAATTAAAACGAGCTGCATTTAAGTTTGATCATTGCGCTCGATTATGGGGCCTTTCAGAGGTCGGTATGGATGAGCAGAGGGAAAAGTAAACTGCACAAAGAGGCGAGGCCCCGCCAACGTTGCGGCAGATTAAAAAAACAACCTGTTGAGCAAAAGAGTCAGCAAGTTGTAGTTAGGAAGCAGCCGAGCGCAAAAGATGCGGACCATGTGAAAGCAAAAACACCAATAGAAATAAGAACGACGGTTTGGACAGGCACAAGACCCGCGGGACCTTTGAGACCATGGACGCCCAATGTCATCATGTCAGCCCCGTTGACGGGTGAATGGCTTGAGGTTGAATGAGTGTTTCGTCGGCGGAGGCCTTCTTCGCCTTGTCTGACCAGTACTTTTAATCGTTCAATTTCCTTTTGAGCAGCTGAGAGTTGTGATTTCATCTTCAGAAATTCTTCGGGATTGATGGGCAAAGTAGTGTTCGATGTTGGCTGGATAGTATTGATGGACCTAGGCGGGATTGTAGCCTGTCCAGAAACAGGCACCTTCTTGTCTTCCATGGCCGAGAGAGAGTTTTGGGCAGAGGTGCGGTGTTTTAGGGATTGTGGGGTGGTAGCCGAGGAGCTGAACCTTTGACGACCCGCAAAGGACTCGTCGTGCGCTGCTTCGTAGACCGTAGTGTCTGGCTGGTCAGATTCTGAACGGGCTTGAGGTGAGCCGGAAGTGGTCGGATGATAGCTCCCAGTGGTGTGACTGCGAACAGAGTTGTAACGGGGGTCCTGAAGCATATAAAGATAATCATGGGCTTGAACGTTTGAATGAAAAGATAGGGTAGATGTGGAGATACGAA